TTAACATTCATTTACTCCTTTGCAATTGCCTTCATTACCTACTTAAACAGAAATTGAGGTTTAAGATTTATAATGACAAAGGATAAGGCAATTAAAAAAGACTATGTATCGGATATTTTTATCAAATAAACAAAGAATTATTGCCTCTTGAAAAACTTGTTGAAGAACAGCTCTTTGAAAACTGATATATTTCAGATATTCCAAATTACAACTAAATTAGATCAATCGTTGTAATGAGCCCTCTCTTCTAATACCTTGAACTAATATTTTCAAAAAAGCAACAATTTATTTTTTTGTCACACTACTTACTAAAGGATTATTAAATTTTTGGATATCAATTCTATAATTTTGTCAATCTTTAAGGATATATAGATTATGTTTAAGAATCAGTTGGTAATTTTAGAGGTTATCTGGTTTGAATATTAAATTATTGAATGATATAACTCTTATTATACAACTCTAAATATTTTATTAGTAGTCCATACAATTGCAATTCAAGTACAATTAACTCTGTAGAAATTTGATCAGGTTCATTTTTATTTGAATAAAAATAAAGATTTTAAGAATTATATGAGTAATATGAAAATGACAATGAAGGCAAAAAAGTATCAATTTCAATTTAAAAGACTTAACAATTTAATTAATTAATCACAACTTAAGAATCCTAATTCAATTTCAATAAGTTTATAAATAAATAAATTTATTTTTAAATCCAATACTAATTATAAAAGTCGCTCAATTCAATCCATTCTCATCATAGCATCCATTGCCTCTACTAAATATTAAAAATTGTTAAGATTATCATTAAATTGTTTTATTTGAAAATATTGTTTAGATTATCCATCTACCTATCTTTAAACTATTTTTTTATTCGCCTTTGTGCATTATTAATTACTAAAATGATTAATTACAATACTTATGAAATTAATCATTCAATTAAATCCATATTCCAGTTTTCATATTTTGTTCATTATATGATCCACCTCCGCTATAAATGAAAAATAATATCTTTTTTTCGAAATACATTAATTAAAATAAAGAAGTAGAATTATTCCTAAATAAAATATCCCATCTTCCAACCTTTTTTCCTTTTAAATATTCACCTTGATTTATAACTTAACATGACCTAATAAATTTCAAGTGAATTTAATTATACATTAAAAAATAATTGCTTTTTTCAATCCATAATCCATCTATTCAGTTTTCGTTTTCTTTGTATGATCCTCCCCCACTAGGATAGGAGAAATTTATTAACTAGATTTCCCATGCACCAAATTTTTAACCATGTTTATACTCACCACTGAATTTTATTTCATTGTAACTAATATTTTATTCCTATGAAAAGTAAAATGAAAATTTTTTGTTCAATTCAATTCAATCCATTTTCCATTTTTCAAATTTTCATCATCAAATGAACCACCGCCGCTATAATGTTTAATAATTTATAATAACATCTATTCATTTTTATAATTCCCATACTATTTCTAATAATAGATATCCCAACTACCATACTTTTTAGAATTTTTATATTCACCTTTATAAATGACCTAAGAATCACTAAATCTTTAAAAATATTAAACCTCCAAAATCCATTCAAAAGCTCTATCCATTTACCATTTTTCATGTTTTGATCTTCATCATATGATCCACCTCCACTAATAAAGTGATTTCATAATTGCAAATTTGATACATCTATTAATGCCAAGCAAAAATTTCCCATTTACCAATTTTTTTATCATTTAAATATTCACCATAATAAGTGACAGATGAATCACTAATAATGAAAAAGATTTAATTAATCTAAGATACTTATTGAATTCACCTTTCAACTCAATCCAAGCTCCAGTTTTGTGATTTTCCTTATCATAGGATCCGCCACCACTAATCATAATTAAATTATCTACATTTATTTAAATAACTTATTCTCATCTAATCTTTATTCAGTAACCCATCTGGCCATTTTATGTCCTTATTCATATTAAGCTCTATAAATGAGTTAGGTATTGCTAATATAACAACAAATTATTTTATAAGTTACCTTAAAATCTGTGATTTACTTCTAACTATTTTCTGTCATTTAAAAATGCCAAACCCTAACTTAATTGAATGCAAATTCAGTTCTAAATGAATTCATTTAAAAGAATTTATTGATCTTTAATTGAGTGATTATAATTCTGTTGAATTAATAAGACTTAATAGAATTACATGATAAATTTGAGTAATAATTATAGTAAAATATAAAAATTTATGAAATCCATGAAATTTCAAATTTTTGTTATACTTGCTGCTTTTTGTTATCAAACAATCCCTAGAGATGATTATGAAGGATAATGGAAGGATGGTAAAAGAAATGGAATAGGGATTTTTAAATTTGTTAATGGAGATATATATGAAGGAGAATGGAAGGATGATAAAAGAAATGGAATAGGAAAATTGAAATTGGTCGATGGAGATGAATATGAAGGAGATTATGTAAATGATCTAAAGCATGGAATAGGGAAATACAAATGGGCTGATGGAACTGAATATGAAGGAGATTGGAAAGATGATTAAAGAAACGGAATAGGAAAATTGAAATTTGTTAATGGAGATGTATACAATGGAGAATGGAAGGAGGATAAATTTAATGGAAACGGGAATTTGAAAAAAATTAATGGAGATGCATATTATGGAGAATGGAAAAATGATAAAAAAAATGGAAGAGGGAAGTTGAAAATGGTTAACGGTGATGTCCATAAAGGAGAATGGAAAGAAGATAAAAGAAATGGAATAGGGAAATTGATATTGTAGAATGGAGATGTATATGAAGGAGAATGGAAGGATGATAAAATAACTGGAAAGGGTAAATGGAAATCGTCTAATGGAGATCAATATGAAGGAGATTATGTAAATGGTCTAAAGCATGGAAAGGGGAAATAAAAATTGGCTTATGGAACTGAATATGAAGGAGAATGGAAGGATGATATAATAACTGGAAAGGGGAAATGGAAATCAGTTGTTGGAGATGTATATGAAGGAGATTATGTAAATGGTCTAAAGCATGGAAAGGGGAAATAAAAATTTGCTGATGGAACTGAATATGAAGGAGAATGGAATGATGATAAAATTAATGGAAAGGGGAAATGGAAATCAGTTGGTGGAGATGTATATGAAGGAGATTATGTAAATTAAAGCATGGAAAGGGGAAATAAAAATTGGCTAATGGAACTGAATATGAAGGAGAATGGAAGGATGATAAAATTAATGGAAAGGGGAAATGGAAATCAGTTGGTGGAGATGTATATGAAGGAGATTATGTCAATGGTCTAAAGCATGGAAAGGGGAAATAAATATGGGCTGATGGAACTGAATATGATGGAGATTGGAAGGATGATAAAATTAATGGAAAGGGGAAATGGAAATCAGTTGGTGGAGATGTATATGAAGGAGATTATATAAATGGTCTAAAGCATGGAAAGGGGAAATAAAAATTTGCTAATGGAACTGAATATGAAGGAGAATGGAATGATGATAAAATTAATGGAAAGGGGAAATTGAAATAAGTTGGTGGAGATGTATATGAAGGAGATTATGTAAATGGTCTAAAGGATGGAAGGGGGAAATAAAAATTGGCTGATGGAACTGAATATGAAGGAGAATGGAAGGATGATATAATAACTGGAAAGGGGAAATGGAAATCAGTTGTTGGAGATGTATATGAAGGAGATTATGTAAATGGTTTAAAGCATGGAAAGGGGAAATAAAAATTGGCTAATGGAACTGAATATGAAGGAGAATGGAAGGATGATAAAATTAATGGAAAGGGGAAATGGAAATCAGTTGGTGGAGATGTATATGAAGGAGATTATGTCAATGGTCTAAAGCATGGAAAGGGGAAATAAATATGGGCTGATGGAACTGAATATGATGGAGATTGGAAGGATGATAAAATTAATGGAAAGGGGAAATGGAAATCAGTTGGTGGAGATGTATATGAAGGAGATTATGTCAATGGTCTAAAGCATGGAAAGGGGAAATAAATATGGGCTGATGGAACTGAATATGATGGAGATTGGAAGGATGATAAAATTAATGGAAAGGGGAAATGGAAATCAGTTGGTGGAGATGTATATGAAGGAGATTATGTCAATGGTCTAAAGCATGGAAAGGGGAAATAAATATGGGCTGATGGAACTGAATATGATGGAGATTGGAAGGATGATAAAATTAATGGAAAGGGGAAATGGAAATCAGTTGGTGGAGATGTATATGAAGGAGATTATGTCAATGGTCTAAAGCATGGAAAGGGGAAATAAATATGGGCTGATGGAACTGAATATGATGGAGATTGGAAGGATGATAAAATTAATGGAAAGGGGAAATGGAAATCAGTTGGTGGAGATGTATATGAAGGAGATTATGTCAATGGTCTAAAGCATGGAAAGGGGAAATAAATATGGGCTGATGGAACTGAATATGATGGAGATTGGAAGGATGATAAAATTAATGGAAAGGGGAAATGGAAATCAGTTGGTGGAGATGTATATGAAGGAGATTATGTCAATGGTCTAAAGCATGGAAAGGGGAAATAAATATGGGCTGATGGAACTGAATATGATGGAGATTGGAAGGATGATAAAATTAATGGAAAGGGGAAATGGAAATCAGTTGGTGGAGATGTATATGAAGGAGATTATGTCAATGGTCTAAAGCATGGAAAGGGGAAATAAATATGGGCTGATGGAACTGAATATGATGGAGATTGGAAGGATGATAAAAAAAATGGAAAGGGGAAATAAAAATTGGCTGATGGAACTGAATATGAAGGAGAATGGAAGGATGATATAATAACTGGAAAGGGGAAATGGAAATCAGTTGTTGGAGATGTATATGAAGGAGATTATGTAAATGGTTTAAAGCATGGAAAGGGGAAATAAAAATTGGCTAATGGAACTGAATATGAAGGAGAATGGAAGGATGATAAAATTAATGGAAAGGGGAAATGGAAATCAGTTGGTGGAGATGTATATGAAGGAGATTATGTCAATGGTCTAAAGCATGGAAAGGGGAAATAAATATGGGCTGATGGAACTGAATATGATGGAGATTGGAAGGATGATAAAATTAATGGAAAGGGGAAATGGAAATCAGTTGGTGGAGATGTATATGAAGGAGATTATGTCAATGGTCTAAAGCATGGAAAGGGGAAATAAATATGGGCTGATGGAACTGAATATGATGGAGATTGGAAGGATGATAAAATTAATGGAAAGGGGAAATGGAAATCAGTTGGTGGAGATGTATATGAAGGAGATTATGTCAATGGTCTAAAGCATGGAAAGGGGAAATAAATATGGGCTGATGGAACTGAATATGATGGAGATTGGAAGGATGATAAAATTAATGGAAAGGGGAAATGGAAATCAGTTGGTGGAGATGTATATGAAGGAGATTATGTCAATGGTCTAAAGCATGGAAAGGGGAAATAAATATGGGCTGATGGAACTGAATATGATGGAGATTGGAAGGATGATAAAATTAATGGAAAGGGGAAATGGAAATCAGTTGGTGGAGATGTATATGAAGGAGATTATGTCAATGGTCTAAAGCATGGAAAGGGGAAATAAATATGGGCTGATGGAACTGAATATGATGGAGATTGGAAGGATGATAAAATTAATGGAAAGGGGAAATGGAAATCAGTTGGTGGAGATGTATATGAAGGAGATTATGTCAATGGTCTAAAGCATGGAAAGGGGAAATAAATATGGGCTGATGGAACTGAATATGATGGAGATTGGAAGGATGATAAAATTAATGGAAAGGGGAAATGGAAATCAGTTGGTGGAGATGTATATGAAGGAGATTATGTCAATGGTCTAAAGCATGGAAAGGGGAAATAAATATGGGCTGATGGAACTGAATATGATGGAGATTGGAAGGATGATAAAAAAAATGGAAAGGGGAAATAAAAATTGGCTGATGGAACTGAATATGAAGGAGAATGGAAGGATGATATAATAACTGGAAAGGGGAAATGGAAATCAGTTGTTGGAGATGTATATGAAGGAGATTATGTCAATGGTCTAAAGCATGGAATAGGGAAACACAAATGGGCTAATGGAACTGAATATGAAGGAGATTGGAAGGATGATAAAAGAAATGGAAAGGGAAAATACAAATTGGTTGATGGAACCGAATATGAAGGAGATTGGAAAGATGATAAAAGAAATGGAAAGGGGAAATAAAAATTGGCTGATGGAACTGAATATGAAGGAGATTGGAAAGATGATAAAATAACTGGAAAGGGGAAATGGAAATCACTTGTTGGAGATGTATATGAAGGAGATTATGTCAATGGTCTAAAGCATGGAATAGGGAAACACAAATGGGCTAATGGAACTGAATATGAAGGAGATTGGAAGGATGATAAAAGAAATGGAAAGGGAAAATACAAATTGGTTGATGGAACCGAATATGAAGGAGATTGGAAAGATGATAAAAGAAATGGAAAGGGGAAATAAAAATTGGCTGATGGAACTGAATATGAAGGAGATTATGTAAATGGTTTAAAGCATGGAAAGGGGAAATAAAAATGGGCTGATGGAACTTAATATGAAGGAGATTGGAAAGATGATAAAAGAAATGGAAAGGGGAAATAAAAATGGGCTGATGGAACTTAATATGAAGGAGATTGGAAAGATGATAAAAAAAATGGAATAGGGAAATTGAGATTGGTTAATGAATCTGAAGGAGAATGGAAATATGGTAAAGCATATTTAGAAGATAGAATGACATATTATAATATAGATGTATATGATAAAAAAACTGGAAAAGGTTGTATAAAATAGACTGATGGGTCTTTGTATGATGTAGATTGTAAAAATGATGATAGACATGAAAATCGAGGAATTTTATTGTCTGATGATTAATGATATATTGGCAAATGGGTCTTAAGCACATAACTAGATTTGAGGATTATATATTAATAATAGTAATAATATATATAATTCAAAGTCTTTAATTTACAATGTATATGAAAATGATATTCTTTTTTACAAACTCTAAAATTATATTAAGATTATATTCAATATTAGATTATCCGATATTAAATAATAATAAGATTACAAGTTAAGGATTTTGAAATTA